GTGTCTGTGTCTGTGTCTGTGTCTGTGTCTGTGTCTGTGTCTGTGTCTGTGTCTGTGTCTGTGTCTGTGTCTGTGTCTGTGTCTGTGTCTGTGTCTGTGTCTGTGTCTGTGTCTGTGTCTGTGTCTGTGTCTGTGTCTGTGTCTGTGTCTGTGTCTGTGTCTGTGTGCGTGTGCGTGTCTGTGTCTGTGTCTGTGTCTGCGTGTGCGTGTGTTTGTGTGTGTGTGTGTGTTTTCTCTCCTGTAGGATCATCTACACCACTCTGGTTTTGTCTATGGAAGTGTTTGAGCCGTTTATGGGGTATTATTTCTTTAATGCGCTGCTGCTGGTGCTGCAGACGCTGCACATTTACTGGGCTTATCTCATCCTCAGAATGATCTACAAGTTTCTCTTCTTAGGGAAAGTAAGTCATTCCTTCCGTCCATCATATCTGCAAGTCCCAGAAACTATTTAGACACTCGTACTGTATGTCTGAGTTAAATGACCTAACAGTGGTATTTTAGTATTATATACTGTCAGAGTATTTATTGATATTATGAATAAGCTTTTATTTTTATATTTTCAGTTTTCGTTTCAATTGTAGTTTATGTTTTGGAAGTTCTGTTATGTGCTTTTGCCTTTTTTATTAGTTTTTGTTTTTTATAAAAATATTTCTATTTGGCATTAATTTATTTTGGTTTTAGTTTTAATTTTAGAATTTCAGCTTAAATTATTTATTTCAGTTAGTTTTATTATTATTTGTATGTTTTAATCATTTTTGTGCTTTTTCATTTTTATTTATTTATTTTTAGTTTGTTTCAGTAATTTTAGATTTTTCAACTTAAATTATTTTATTTACATTTACTTTTATATTGTTATTTTAATTGTGAAAAAAACAAATAACTTCAAGTTTTAGTAATTTTGCAGTGCTTCTGTCATTTTTATTACTTTTAGTTTTTTATATACATTTATTTTTATCTTTAATTTATTTTAATTTCATTCTTAGTGTTAGTAAATGTAATACTTCAACTTAAATGATTTATTTCAGTTATTTTTACTTTTATATGTTGTACATTTTAATTAAGTTTTAGTACTTTTGTTATGTGCTTTTGTCATTTTTGTTAGTTTATGTGTGTATATATTTTTCTTTATCTTTAATTATTTTTATTTCAGTTAGAATTTTATTCATTTTAAATTAATTTAAATAATTCATTTCAGTGAGTTTTATTTGTATATTTTCAGTTTAATTTTAATCTTAGTTTAGTTGTTAGTATTTTTGCTTTTTGTCATTTTTATTCGTTTTTTGTGTTTTATTTTTCTATTTAGCTTTTATTTCAGTTTTAGTTTGAGTAAGATCAGTATGTCAACTTAAATTATTTCTGTTAGTTAGAAACATTTCTCATTTTCGTTTAAATTTTGCATTTTATTTTATGTATTTCAGTTACCAAAAAAACTATTTTTATTAGATTTAGTTTTAGTTAACAACAACACTGCTGCATGCATATATAACAAAATATGTGATGTGTGCTCAGAGGAACTTTTCTCTCTCTTTTTCATTGCATGAACTAATTTCAAAAGCATTGCACATTGTGATCAATTATTTGACTGACACATATTGGTGAATTCAAATAAACCCAGAGATCTTTGACCAGTCTCACTTTGACCTTCTCTGCTCCAGCTGGACAAGGACGAGCGCAGCGATGTTGAAAGTGAACCAGAGGAGGAGGAGAAAGAGGAAGAGGAGGAGGAAGATCGGTCTTCCTGGAGGAAGAGGAAGGTGGTTCTGGACTCCAGGCTGGCGATGCTGAGCTCCAGCTGTGTCTTAAATAACTTGACTAATCAGAAAGCCGACGCGAACAGAAGACTGCCGAAAGCCAGATAGCAGCGAGCGCTGAGACGTGCTACTCCTTCATCCACACTGAGCTCAGCAGAAACAAATACACTGTACTTCAGGAACACACTTGACTCTCATTCACACCAGTAACCAGCTCAAGCATCAAGCACTTATGAGGGAGAGGCAGATCAAGGAATTTCCCTTTATTTAGTCGCACCTCATATCACTTCTAACAGAGTAGAATTGAATGGAAATAAAAAGACTTGCTGACGTGTGCATTTAGTTCATGACAGATCAGATTCAGCAGTGCAAACCCACATCAGTAATGTTCAGTCTGTAATAAATAGGCTATAAATAACTTTCAACTGAAAATACTGTATTTATTGTGCACTTGTATGATGAAAATACTCGGTTTGAAATGAATGATATGTTTTGTAAATATAGCTATAGATTTCATTTTGAACATGTTTTAATGTCCTCTGGTAGAATATATTGTGAAATATCTTGCCTTGTCTTTTTCTCTGTATACATATTTTACTTTACACAAAAATAATGTATTATTTATATAAATATTACATTGTAAATTATTGTAACAAATCACACGTGTGTAATGAAGATATTTTATAATTAAAAAACATTTATTTAAATATATGTATACATTTTAAATTTATATAAAATGTATTAATTTAACATTTATTAATTACAACACTGTATATGTATTAATATATTGTATATAATATATAATAATATAAGTATTATTCATTATTTAATTTAATACATGTGTAAATATAAATATACATATGACATATTGTTATTAAATATTATACATTTATCAATATGAATCTGTAAATTACTGTAACAATTCACACATTTAATTCTACATTTAAGATTGAATAATAAAATAATTTAACAAAGATTTAATTATATATATATATATTAAATTATTGTGACAAATCACACCACAGTTTTAATTCTACATATTAAATGATATTTAATAATAATCTCAGAAATAGACACCAAACGTCACCCAGATCCACAGTATACACATAATAAATAACAGCTTGTCCCAGAAATGCAGAAACCGATCATGCATTTATTTAAAACCAGCACAGACCTTATTTGAGGAGCTTTAACTCTGATTCTGAAGAACTTGCATCCTGATATCATGTTTACATTGGTTTGAAAGCCCGTTGTGTGGCAGCGGCGCGCTGCGGTTCCGCTCCGCTCCTGCAGGCGGCGGTAAAGCCGCTTTAACGCTCAAAGACACGCGATCTTCGCGCACGAGAAACGCGAGGTTCTTTTTCCGGCCGGATCGGCAGCGACTGCGAGGGTGAGGATTACCGTCCGCGCTATTGTCTAGTTTTGACGTCTTTTCTCTCCTTATTCACTCTTATGTTTGTTTGAGTGTGTACACGAGATGCTTACGTTCGTGAGGGGAGCGATTAAAGCTGGTTGTGCGGTGGATTTAGACGCGTTTGTGTGGTCTGAAGGTGCGAGTGTGTCATGGCCTAGCCTAGCCTAGCCTAACCCGAGGCGGCCATGTGTGACAGAAAAACACCAAACACAGTAAAGCGACAGAAACCTGCAATGCATGCACATTATTTAGCTTATATTATAACGTTACGGGGTCTTTTAGCGTTTTAATGACATAAAGCTGATCTGTGATGCGCAGTCAAGTCAGACGCTGATCACTAATTGGTGTTTTTGATATCATTAATTATATATATATCACAATATATGGCAATTCCGTGGTATCTTGAGTTGCTATGGGTCATGGCCAAATCACGGAAGTACCGTTGTGTTACAGATGCTGATGTGTTGCTGCAAATAACTGCACGTGCCAACAGGGCAAAATGATTGTATTGCAGCATGTTCCGCTGCTTGTGTTCCTGTGATGACCCGTGCACCTGACTGATGCTGATGCTGATGCTGATGCTCTCACTGACTCTGAAGGATGTTGATCGTCTCTTTTTCTGTGACAGTGGCAAAATGCAGATCTTTGTGAAAACTTTGACGGGTAAAACCATCACCCTCGAGGTCGAGCCCAGCGACACCATCGAGAATGTGAAGGCTAAGATCCAGGACAAGGAGGGTGTGTATGAGCTTCAGCGGGTGTCAGTGAAGAAAACAGGCTTTCTGTGGGTCCTAAACTCTTAATTTGACCTTCCACAGATAAAGGCCACAGGCCTTTTAGGTGCAGAAAGTCTTAAATGTGTTGCAAAAAAGGAAAATAATATATATACACACACACTTCCGGTTAAAAGTTTGCTATCAGAACGACTTTTAATGTTTTTTACAGGAGTTTCTTCTGCTCATCAAAGCAGCATTTATTTGATAAAACAAAGGAAAAAATTTTATATTGTGAAATATTATTATGATGTAAAATAACATTTTTCTATTTGAATATACATAATGTCATTTATTTCTGTCATGCGCAGCTGAATTTTCAGCATCATTACTGCAGTCTTCAGTGTCGCATGATCTTCAGAAATCAGTATAATATGCTGCTTTATTATCAGAGCTGGAAACTGTTGATGCTTCATATTTCTTTTGGAACCTGTGATACTTTTTTCAGGATTCTTTGATGAATAAAAAGTTTTTAAAAAAAGAGCATTTATTTAAAATAGAAAGCTTTTCTAACGATATACACTACAGTTCAAAAGTTAAGGGTCAGTAAAAATTTTTGAAAGAAATGAAAACTTTTATTCAGCAAGGATGTGTTAAATTGATAAGAAGTGATAGCAAAGACTTATATTGTTAGAAAAGATTTATATTTTGAATAAATGCTGTTCTTTTTAACTTTTTATTCATCAAAGAATCCTGAAAAAAGTATTTCCAAAAAAATATTTGTCAGCACAACTGTTGATAATTCTAATAATAAATCAGCATATTATACTGATTTCTGAAGATCATGTGACACTTTATGCTGGAGAAGTAGACTGGAGCATCGATGTGTTTCAGGAGCTTTGTTCAAATAAAATGTTGCTGAAAACAGTTGCCTGGAATTTGTCTGTTCATTTGCCAGCTATTACACTTTCATCATGTTCTTTTCCTTCCGTGTAAACAAAAAATGAACCTTAGAGATGCCCACTATGTTTTTCTAACCATTTTGTGTCTTCATACTTCCCTGAGGACATTTTCAAGTGGATCCAACGTAATCACCGTTTCAGATTTTGGAAACTTTAAATTTTTGGGTTAAAAGGTTTTGTAAATCTATTACATTTTGCACATTTAAAACAAAACATTGTGAAATGCTATAGTTGTAAACCTATAGTTTGTGCAATTTTTAGTCACAACAGGCCTAGAATATATCGAATCCAACAAAATGGGGATGTTTTTGCATTTGTTTTTTAAAAGTTCAAATCATTTTAAGCCAAGCATCTAAGTTTTTTTTTTATGCAGACAGTAAAAATGTGTTGCATGTAAGCATTTCATGATTTTAAAAATGTTATATAGTGTAATTGTACATTTAGAATACCACGAAGTACTTAAGATTAAAAGTATGGACTTTCAAAAAACAAAACAAAAGCATTTTAGTCTGTGTTAACGAGTTTAGCTTGGGCGTTAGTTTAGCAACTGAAATACAAAATAAGAAAATGTAAGCATATTTAAATGAATCAACATTGTGTTTGCCAGGGATTTTTGGAGCATATGTAGTGCAGAAAAGAACTAAATCACTGCTAATGCAATATAAAACTAATTTATTTTGCAAGCTTAAAATGTAATAATAATAACTGCTAATATTGGATTGTCCATTAAACAATGAAAATGTAAAAGTGAAGCATTTTAATGGTATGAAGTTGAATCTCCAAACTCAGTCATTTTTAAATGACTTGCGAATTTATGAACAATGCATTTAAGTTAAAATTAAGCACATTTGCTTTGGTATCAAGTGAGCAAATGTACTGCAAAATTTAAACATTCAAATTTCTTAACATTTTGCTTAAATATTACTTTTGCCTTTATTTACTTGTGCACAGAAAACTAAGAATTCACAAGTTTTGAAAAGGCATTTTAAGCATGCATTTGCTGGGGCAATAATTGAGCAAATATAATATTTCAAGCTATGCAGATTTACATCAGTCTAACTTAACCATTGGTTTAAATATTACTTTTCCAGGATGTTTTGCGCACATGTAAACGCAATAAACCACACCGGTAATTCAATGTAAAACAAATTTATTCAGCAGGTTTGCTTTCCGTTCAGAGAAGATGATATAGTGTGAGTCTTTGCTCTGGAGTTTCCAGCTGATTGCGTTAGCCGGTTGGCACAGTATGACTCTTACTAGAGTAGAATGAAATACTGTCATCATCGTATAATCAGCCTGTCAAGAGCTGCAGGAGGAACCTAAGATGCATGTGGGGAAAATAAGGCTCTGGCATCAGAGTAAGACACTGGATCACTCACAAGCAGAAATGTTTGTCCTTGAAAAGAGTTCTTGCCACTTTCTCCAAATCAAATCACACATGCTCTCGTCGATTATACAAAGCAGTACACATACTCAAGTACTGCATGAAGAGAGAAGAAATATAAAAGTAAACACCTGTTTATTTGACCCTATATATGTATAAAGCACACAAATACAAACCCTGCGGATTGAGAGAACACATAAAAACAGGCTGTTGGCACTTAAAGGTCCCATGACATGCTGCTTTTTGGCTGCTTTTATATAGGCCTAAGTGGTCCCTAGTACTGTATCTGAAGTCTCTTTCCCGAAATTCAGCCTTGGTGCAGAATTTCAGCCACTACGAGCTAGTCCCACAATGAGCTTTCCTTAGGATGTGCCATTTCTGTGTCTGTAGCTTTAAATGCTAATGAGGAGGAGAGAGGCGGGGCAAGGTGCTTCACTCCTTTGCAAGCCATGATGTCTCTCGAGGAAAAAAATATATTGCGCTCGCCTCGCACGGTAGTAGCTCATTTTCTCATGGGCGGGCCAAATTCTCTGGGCGGGCAAAGCAGAGAAAGGGGAGGTAACCTTTCCCCGTATGACGACATAAAGGGAAGATTCCAGATTGGGCCATCTGAGCTTTCATTTTCTCAAAGGCGAAGCAGTATACCCAGGGCTCGGTTTACACCTATCGCCATTTCTAGCCACTGGGGGACCGTAGGCAGGCTAGGGGAACTCATATTAATGTTAAAAAACCTCATAAAGTGAAATTTTCATGCCATGGGACCTTTAACATACAGCGGTCGGAAGCCACACGAGCGGCTTTCTTGTGCTATAATAAAGATACTGTATAATGCAACATCCAATACACAACTGTACAACCATTACAGCCTATGACTTAAAGAAACAGTTCAGCCAAAAATGAACATTTGCTGAAAATGTGCTCTTCTTCAGGTCATCCAAGATTAGGATGAGTTTGTTTCTTCATAAGATTTGGAGAAATGTAGCATTGCATCAGTGTCTCAGCAATGGATGCTCTGCAGTGAATGGGTGCCA